GCTAGTAGTAACAAGTGCCTTACTAGTAGTAACAAGAAGCTACTAGGGGCTCCTGGCCTTACTAGGGTGGACCAGTCTTTGAGACCCAAGATCAGCTTGCTCGGATAGAGAAGAGGCGAAGCCCAGTGAATCCAAACACATCGGCTCACCGCATTGAACCCCTTGTAGATGTTTGGAGTGCTCAGCTTTGTATCTTTTGGTGTGTTTCTTTTTTGGTACTGTAGTTCAATTATTTGCGGTTTTTCAGCATTCCCTTCAGACATTGCAGGTTTCCCAATCGCCAGTGCTTCGTCTCACATCGCACCTTTGGAGGATGTCATTTATCCCAGTGAAAAACGTTTTGCGTCTGCTGGTAGCCTTCAGAGACACCCCCAAAACAACAAACAAAATCAACAGGTAGCCAATGTAGCTCCTACCCACTGAAAGGCCACGCCCCAATTCATGACATGTCACGACCGCTTTCTTTGGAGGCGTTGTGAAACTCAGAAGGCTCATCGGTATCTTTTGGGGGGGTACGCTGTAAGAGGGAAGAACCGCTCAGTCGCGTGTCCATCGGTTGCGGCCTTTTGCTGCATTTCTCTATCTTTGTGACAGGTCCATGTGGCAACCAACCCAAATGGAATATGTTACAATATAGTATTATACCATGATTAGCATTTTGTTTGTCGCTCTGACCCTTGCAGTCTAGAGTCCACTTGAGCTGTTAAGCCAGAATGGTCAGTACGAACCAATAGAGGAGTCGGGTTCAGCTCTATGGTCTATGCTCGACAAGGAATCGCTGGCTAGCGATTGGCCGCGCTGGGCAACAGGGGCCAGAGGCCGGATGATGCCAAATACAGAGGTGTTTCACAACATTGCAAAAGATTGCAAAGATTCATATTTGGCCTGGCCAAAACCTTTCCTGTTCATGAAAAAAGAACCTGGCTTGAAGGGATGCACACGGGTGTTTACACGGGTATTTTTTGTTTCTGATGACTGGATCTTCAAGAGAGGTCTACCATGGTCTACCGGTGGCTGTCCCCGGAAAGCCCGCAGCATCCCGCTGCAGGTGGCTTGGGGCTACACGGACACCGACTATGGAGTTGCCCCGATGGTTGGCTTCCCGGTCTTGGGCCGTTAAGACCAAGAGTGCTGTGGAAAATCGATCCAGCTTGCCCAGTGGGGACGCGACAGGTCCCTGGTCCCTTTGTTTCAGTTCGTTAAATGATGTTCAGAACGGCACTGGATTTGAATGGTGGGTTCACAGCCGCGGTTCTGCCTTGTAGGGCTATGGCCTGAAAACGAGAATAAGTGTTTGGTCACCTCAAAGGTCGCTAGAATAGATCCCTTTGTATCCTCTCATTCTGAGAGTCTATGGAAGCGCCAAAGATCACCACCACCTTGCAGATGCACAAGAAACAACATATCATGTGACCAAAGAACGGTCTTTCGCCACCAAGTCTCCAAAGGAGGACAAGAGTCGATGTTCCAAACAAAGTAAAACTCCTTATTATCCCTTCCTTCATACAATGACGATAATGAAGGCTGGTTGGTCAATCCGTGACGTTGTCGACTGCAGTTGATAGACAACAAGACGATGCATGAAGACTCACGGATTCTTTGTGAGTCCATGAGTTCTGTTCCAGAGGTTGACTTCTCTCGACCCTTCGAACCCCGGAAATGCCAATCTTGGTCTTTGGAAAACGAGAACTGCTGCACAGTGGCTTGGTTCGTTAGGGTACTGCAGATTCGTTAGGAGGTTTGGTGAGACAAAGTCTTTGCTTGGTTTGACAAGGATGGGAGATGTTTGGAGATGAATACTCCAAAAGAATATACTCTTTTGCTGCTGGCACATGTTTGTCCTGTCAGTAGATGTTCTCTCCTTTCCACTTAGTAAGCCAACAACAGCTTTCTGTTGGGAAGACGACTCTGCCCGGTCGTACCGTGCCCGCTGGAGCCGTGTGGTTCCTCATCATTTCGCTGGGAGGTGGCATCCTTGCACCATGCTCCGGTGCCTGGGCACGGACAGACGTTGAAGCTCTCTTTTCAGGCACCGGAGATTCGTGGCAGACCGGTCGCAGCGTTCGTAGGATCGGGAGACAACGCGAGCGGCGTTGAAATGGACGGTCCCAGGCGGCGGGAGGGATGGAAGGATGTTTGGTTTCGTGTTTGAGATGCACTCGATACAGAAGGCTTCCCTTAGTCCAACCAACAAGAATAAACAAATATCAAGACAACCAATTTCCCTGCATCTTCACAGCAAGCAAAGCTGAATAGTTGTAGTAGTAGCTCTCCGATGCAATATTCCATCATATTCCTACCCCCAGGTTTTGGCATGCGTCTTGACTCTCATGTGTCATGCCCTCTGATCCAGTCATGATTGGGTCCCACGTGATCTACCTCCCGGGGCTCACTGCCGCACTGCCCAGCTCTCGGTGGCAGGTGGGAGATCGAGCCGCCGCCGAAGCTGGGCTGAGGGATGTCAGGGATGGCAAGTGAGGAGGGTAGACCACATGCAGCAGTTCGTATATATATATATATAACAATTACCTACAAAGACTCAAGACAGTCGCTCTGAGGAGCTGTATGATCTTGTATGATGGGTCGTTTCTTTGGACGGGGAGGCACATGTGCCAATGAGTGCATAGCAGCGCCATCTACCCCATGTACCACTGACCACTTCGGATTCTGTGCTGCGCCCGGCGAACACGCGTCGAACACGGGCGAAAGCGAGCTCCGCCTGCGCCAAGGATCTCGGGTCCAGCTCGGGCTTCTTGGAGCTCCGAGCTCGAGGCCTCCGTCAAGCCAGTGATGAATCCAACAGTTGACCAGTGAAGAAGTGTGGTTTCTTGGGAGATGACTGATAAACATAGGACTTCATAGGACTTCAATTGGGAAGATGCTTGGTTGATTTGGGTTGGCTGATGAATTGAATTCTGCCCTGAAGAGTTCGTCCTGGCAAGGTGCTTCAAGTGCTGAGGGACCGGCCGGGGCCCTTGGTGGTCAAGGTGCTGCATCATGTGACTCTTGATGGCCAAACTGATAAACAAAGTACAGTAGTCAACTCGATTTCGGAGCACAGCCCTGCCATGCAAGAGCAACAGCATTGCTGTGTGATCTCTTCGTCCAACCAACTAAACCGCTCTATTTGGCTGTTGGTGTCTACTGCGCCGGTGGGCTCTGGATAATCCAGCGCGAAAGACACTCACCCAGGCGGCGTATCTCCGATGTGACCTGGGTGATCCAGAGGAGCGGAGACGCAAAAGAACCCAGCAGACATCAGCAGACCATGCCCATACTGTACAAGAACATACAAAAAAATGTCACAACATGGAACAAGGGATGCTATGGTTTTTCTGACTATGCGCTTGGTATATGCTAGGTGAAGAAAGGATTCTTCACCCATCAATGTTCCAACCAGATGCGGGATGTTTCTGAATGGTGTCTTGTCAACGGAACATGAAGGTGTTTATCCTTTGGATATCTTGGGCCCAACCCTGGAAGAGTAGATGGAACATGAAGACATCAGTGCACTCAAAACATCCCAGTTCCGGTGACCCGGTCGTGATCCCAAGTGGCTACGCGTGTCTTTTTTTTTGCAACTGTCCATTCAAGAATTCAAAAAGGGTATTCGGAAGGAGAGCAACGTTTTTTTGATCCCTGCAACTTGTGCTTGGGGTGATTTGGGGTGTGTCACCTGGTTCTAACGTTTGGCACAGGTGTCGTACACAGACACAACCGCCCAAATCCAGTCTTGTGGCCTGGGCTGGCAGGTGTCCCGCTGGGAGAGGCCAAAGTCCCAATTTTGGAAGCAGACGCAATTTGTATTGCATCGTTTCCATCCGAATCTCTTTGCTTTAAGCAGTTGGTAACTTCATGTAACACCTAAAGAACCGGGAAATACCGTCCTGAGTTTAGAGGTCACAAGTCTGGCTGCACTTGGTGACTCACGAGCCGTGCCCATTTCACCTGTGTTCTCTCTTGTTCGTTCGTTTTGCATGCCAGGAGTCTGATTGGCGCCAGGATGGGGATCTTTGGTTTCGGCCAGGAGCCTGGAGCCTCATGCAGAGCCCGTCAGGAGCTCAGCTGTGCAGCCCGTGAGGGAAGGGGATTCCACACACAGATGGCCTTTTACATCCTGTTATTGTTCGTTGGCTGATGAATAGAGGTGACACCCTCTATTATTCCCAAGGGCGGACGTCGGGTTTGGGTGAAATGGATACACCGAATTGGAGTGGCCCCAAGCCAGACTAAATTTCATTGGCATGAGCGCTGTCACAGGTGAAGCTCAGCCTTTGCGTATTTGGAATAATGATGATCATAACCAGGGTTGGGTGGTTTATTTTGTGGAATCCTTACTGAATCTCCATGTTCGATCTGGAAAGAATGGCATGTGATTTCATGATGATACAGATCCAGTGCATGTTTTTCGCTCAGGAGTGCAGCGCTCACGTTGTCGCTGCAGAAGTGCAACGTCTCTGGTGCCTTCTTTGCACGGCCACTTGCCTGTCTTTGAGCCCGGAGCAAGAGTTCAGTCGGAACGCCTTTTTTTGAGGTCCTTTTCTGACAGATATGGGGTGAATAGACACATCGGGGTATGACACATCGGGTATGTGGAATTCTGCCTTCAGTCTGCGACATCGGAAGGCTCGGGAGATCGGTCCAAGCAGCAAAGCTTGGAGGGTCTTCAAAGAGACCTGGGGGGCTGCTATAGTCGAGCTAGCTAACCAGAGAAATACAGCTGCATTTCCAGAACCCCCCCGGGTCCTGCGGTCCCGGTAAGCATCCAGTGATATCCAGTGCATCTACCATCCTTCAACTGGTCTTTGAGAAGTGCAGGATGGACGGTCGTAATCGGGCGTTTTGTAGTTCGAGGTTCGAGATCACCGGCATCCAGCCGGGCCTGGTCTCCATAACCGTGCAGGCAGGTTGGAGAAGATGTTTGACTCTTGATGGAGAACATCCCGTCCATCAACCGCACATGTTGGGCAAAAGTCGAGCGATAAACGGCCTTCTGTATGGGGACACGTGGGCGAGGTCGATTCTTGACCAATCCATCGGACGTGTGGGCCGACCAAGTCATGCAAACCTGGAGGCCACAGATGTTGATGGGAAGACTATTGTAACAGACAGGTCCTGCCGTCCTCCTGTCATGTCCAAATCTCCGATCCAAGCGAGTGCCACTCCCAGCTGTGGGCTGGTCGGACCGCTTTCGACAGCAGAGCAGGCCGATCTGGTAGCTCCTTCCTCAGGGAGTATGCCTTCACCTTCGGCTCCCGTCTGCTGGCCTTAGATGAAAAAAGGTCAGTTCGGAAATGGAAGAATGCTGCCAGCGTTTTGGCTCTACCTGGAGTGGAATCATGTGGAACCCAACCACAAGAAAGAAAAGCGACAAGTGGAACCCAGCTGACCCAGGGACCCGGGAATCATTTTAGACTGGGCTAAGCGAGCTTGGACTTAGCACTTCGATGCACTTCGAAGATCTCAAAAGAAGTGGGAGGGGCAAACGACTGCAGGACGAGGCATGCTGGCACCATGTTCCTGACCAGAGATACGCAGGAGGTTTGTTTGTCTCATGTATATATAATAATATATATTACAATATAGTATCCCGGGGAGTCAAAGACTATAAAAAGAATGGTCTTTAGGGGAACTGAAAGGGAACTTCCTTTACTCCAGCCGGTCAAAATATGGTCTTTGGACTTCTAGGGGTACAATATAACATAAGATATATATATATATCCGGTCTTTGAGAAAGCTTCATCCTTGCCACCCAGCAAACATCCAAATCCTGGGTGTGGGTCACCCAGGCGAGATAGGAATCCACCGCTTGAGATATCTTGAGGTACTTTTTGATGTATGTAATGTAATGTAATATGCAATATGTAATAATATATGTTATGTTGTGTTATGTTATGTTATGTTAGTATGTATGTAATGTAATATAATGTGATGTGATGTAATGCAATGGAATGGAATGGAATGTAATGGTATGTAATGGTATGTAATGTAATGTAATGTAATATAATGTAATGTAATGTAATGTAATAATGTATGTATGCCTACAATAACTGAAAACTCAAGAGAGGTCCTCTTAATCATCTGATGAAACTGACAAAGCATGACAAACATACCCCGTGCTTCTCCATGCCAGATCACAGTACCATCCCTCTTTTCACTCTTCTTTGAGATGCTGCTCCACGGTTCGGTGCGTTGATCACGAAGCTGGAGCCGAGGCACGTTGGGATGTGGCATTGCTGGATTCCGGTGGCCACATCGTGGACATGTCCGGGCCATAGGTCTTTTTACGCTGAAAGACACCTGGGCAGTCTTTGTCTTCAGCAGAAAGTGAGTGTGTTTTTTGCAAGAAGATGTTCAAATCTCTTTGTTTGGGAAGCTTTGTGATCCGTCATGACTTGCATATCAGTTGGAGAGCGCAAGGCAATGGTTGTTCTCACCTCCACAGAACTAAGTCCATTTCTCGGCTGTGGGTTTAGGGTTGTGGGTTACCAGGTGTCAAGAGCTGCCTCGTTTGTTCTTGTGTACTCCCTGCATACCCGCCAAGTGTTCGCCACTTCCGTTGTGGACCAAAGCGGGTCACGGTCGGGGTTCCGTGGCGGAAATGGGGGTTCTTTCTACTCAACGCCGTGGCCAGGAATCCAGGCTTGTCAACGGAGAATTGGTGGAGTCAAGAATGGTCCTTGCGACCGCTGCTGTTGTCTTGGGAAGGCCAGTCGCGCGTGGCGGGGTGCGTGGCGCTGGCTTCAGCCACCTGTATGACTGCTATTGGAATGTGCTGAAACTGTACAGAGCTTGACTTGCAAAGCATGTGAGTACACTCATATGTAACATGTTTAGAGATCACGATCACAAGAACTCGGTCTTTTCTGGGGCTTCTCGTCAGACGGAAAACACGTGAAAACACCAGATCCTTATGTGCACATGGACACAGGTACCGGTACATGCAAACACATCCCCGATGGAATTTCCACTAGGGTGTTGAATAGCATGGTGAATTCACACGATGCAAGAACAGTTCTTTTGAACAGACGAGTCGCGTGGCTTCTCCACCGATTTCTGCGCCGACGAGTCGCACGAGTCCGTCGCAGGTGTGAGCCATCCGGCGACACAGGCGGACCGGCGCGCCGCGGAGCGGCACCGGTGCGGCCGCGGAGCGGTGCGGCCCTGGGCCATTTGGAAAGCTATTTGGAGAGCCACACAGTTGAGTAGTTACATGTAGTTACACAACGTTCCGCGTTGTTTGATCACATCAATTAGTAGACACAGTGATGGACAAATTAAGAGTTGATAGGGAAGATTGGTGGATTCCAGTAACTGCAAGGTGCACAGACACTCAAAGGTTGATGTTGCGGAGCGCCAAACGGTTGTGACCTCGACTCCTGGACGTTGAAGGTTTCACTGCAGACAGCGCGCAGGGTGGTTCTTTGGGTGATGCGAGCATCGAAGCATCGATGTGTGCCTGCAAGAAACCTTAAGGATCTTAAAGACAGAACCACAATGACTCAATATTTGTCAGAGCTCCAACCAACAATGGAACAGAGTAGTAGTGTAGTCTCAACAAGAATCACAATAGGTTGATTAGATTGGGGCCCTCGTTTTCTCACCGGATCCCGTTTCATCCACGACCTCATTAAGGAATCCCACCTCAAAAACTTCAACCTGCTCTTGGGATGCCTCGACCGGCGAAGCCACCGGACCGTCCTGCCAGATCGCGGTCTCCGTGATCTTCCAAAGTCGACGTGGGGACGCACCCGCGATGCTTGGGATGATGAGGGAGTGAGACCGTTGTCCGGAAGATGCAACAAAACAAGTTGGTGATAGTGATATGGATTTCCATACATTATACATAAATAACTAGAGTGTTGATGTGCATGAACATCCGTTTCCATTGTTGTCACAAGAGCAAGTGGGAAAGTTGTGGTTAAAGTGGGTTTGTTCCATGAAGTGAACCCAGAAATCAGCCCACACTATTGCATGAAGGGGCTTGGAGATCATAAGTGCCTACCATGAATCATACAGTGTTGTTTGAGTATGTCCTTGTGGTGTTGCAGGAATTCCAAATTGACTTGAAACCTTCAGCGTTCTCCAAGCCATTGAACTCCTAAGGATTGGGGATTGGATGACTCATACCAATGCTCAAACATACACCTTCATGTGAATACAAAAAACTCGTTGATCTGGGAGCCACCCAGATCTCAGAATTGAATGCTTGACAACTGTCAACAGGCTTGGAAAATTTCAGCTGGAATATGCCTTTCCTCAAGCCAAATAGTCCGATTTGTCTACTGTAATTGTTTTTTTTTTCTTTTCTCCGGGCTGATCCTCAAGTAAATCACTCCTTGCAGGCTTCAGCACGCCCCAGGACGGTTTGGTGTTTCTTTCGACACCTAAGGATGCTGTGCTTGTATCCACCGTCTGACTTCGCTGAAGGAGAGCTTGCCTGCCTTTCTGTGTGTCCAGTGAATCTCCATGGACTGTGGGAAGGGCTACCAAACCTGCAAATGCTTGTTTCAAAGACTTGGGCCGCATGTGATCACCTTCGCCAAGAAACCATGCAAGGCATAATGGATTCCATTGGACTCCGAGTTTGTTCCATTGACTGAGAACATGTACAATAAAGTGTTTGCAAGAGTTTGACAGGTTCCTTGTGAAGCATCATCAAATAAGGGGTGTCTCAAAATTAAGTGCTGAGGACTGGGAAAGCTAGAGAAATATCCTGTAAACAGTGTCTTGGGTAGGAGAGACAGTTGACGAATGTGGCAAAGACTCTGGAGGATTTTTTGCAAAGGCCTTGCCACCGAGCTTCATTGTTGAGAATGTTGGGATGAACAGGTTCGCCTAAGAAACGCACTTTTTTTATACGTTTTTAACATTTGGGCTCGCATTGCAACAACACGGACAATGGCCAACCTCCGTTAATGTCAGTGCAAGAAATACCTGCTTCACGGTGGTAGAAACCATACAACAGAGCTTCCATGGTTTGCAAGGGATGACAATAACATGAACTCCTGGGCCGTTTCCACTTGACTCATTTCCTGCATCAGGAGCACCGGCAGATGCTGGATTTTCCATGTCAATTGGCCAAGGTGATTTGCTGCTCCTAGATGGCACTAGTCGGGGAGCCTCATGTAGAAGCAGATAGCCTCTCAATAAATAATTACCACTATTGATTCACTGCCTCATAAAGGCATCTGCCCATTTGAGTCATTGAGGCTGCGATTGAGGCTGCAGGGAGTCTCGCACGAAGCACAACATCTGATTGAAGACACTAAAGCATGGAACCTTGAGCCTTGCTGTTCACCACAATCATGGTAATTCCTTGAGAATTTTGGAGACAGAGAAGCTGCTTATGACGGAACATGTGATGTCCATGTCCATGTCCAAAGCTTCGGACAGGTCATGCACCGTGCCCACTCCGTGCCCAACCCATGTCTCTTTTTGTCCCACCCTCGTCTCGAGCAGACCGGAGATCACTGGAGACTTCCAGAGGTTATGCACTGAGCCATTGACACTCCCTGGAAGTAATCATGGTTACGTGGATGGCATGGCCCCTGAACCCGTTTTCCTTTGCAAACCGGTGGGTTTCAACTTCCATGATTATTCCAGGCAGTGTAGCATTTTCACGGCTGGTAACACGTACACTGACGACCCTGACCATGGCTCGATAGTCAGACTGGACTTCCAGACAGCCTCATTTGATCCCAAAGGCTAGATGAGCTAAGCCAAGCTAATAAAAATGAACGTGACAGGTAGGCTGGAATTGGTCCTGCAATCTCACAATGCAGCTCTTTCTCGAACAAACAATGAGACACGCCACATCCTCGTCACCTTCAGCAAAGATCTTGAGTGTGAAGGCATGTAGCTGTACTGCATCCATCTACATCCCCGCAAATACTATATATCCAGATCATAGGGGATTGAGGATCTTTTTCAGCCAATCTTTGGAAAGTGCACGGTATCCGGCGCTGTATCCGGCGCAACCAGCCGCTGCGCGGGTGCACCCAGGTCAGATCGCTTGCGTTTGGTGCCAAGCTGGCCCTGGGTGGTCCAGGCTGATGCCCCTCGGCGGCACAGGCAGCTAGCGGTGTGAGCAGCTCCGTGAGCTTCGGCGCGGGAAATGGGGCGCTGATGAGTCATGAGACGACGCATGAGGAGGGTCCTTTGAATGTGCAAGATCTGAACCTTTGACCCCCAGTTGTGAGTTGGTCTTAAGGATTTGGAGAGTGCCTGATGAGCCTTTTCCAAGGTGTTCTTCACGATCCAAACATGAATCCTCCAGCATCAGCCGATTGCTTTTCAGGTGGAGGGTTTGCCCTTTTGAAACATCTGGTAAATCTGGTAATTACAAATAAATCAATGCGTGAAGAAGTGTTTGGTAGACCATGATGACCGACTTCTTCAAAGCATCCATGCCGATGGAAGAGCCTTCCAAGATCCGGAAGATTTCCCCTCCAAATCGACGCCCCTCCCTCAGGTTCGCCGGAAACGGCGACTCTGCCTGGCCATGGCTGGAAACGTCACAGAGATGGCGCCGAATGTGCAGATGTCCTTCACGGTTCCTTGGCTTAGTTTGAGGCTTAGGCTAGTATTCTAGTAGGCCGGAGGCAAGGTTTTACTTTTGGTGAAGGACACCTTGGATCTTTTGACAGCTGAAGATCTTTCGACATCCAATATTACAAGGGGGAAGGTATGCCACAAACCGAGGTCAGTTGACGTACTCACCACTTACCTTACCTACGCTCCTGTGCTAGGTCATATGCTTGCTGTAGGTAATTGTTTCTTCAAATATGGCCAACAAGGAGGTGGACCAGAACAAACCGGATCAATACCTAAATCATCCTAAATCCGTTTTGAGCAAATCCGTATATAAAACATGTTAAAGCCCACTCGGGTGATCCTCACCCCTTCGGAAACAACGTTGTTTTCCCCACCGCTGGATGGAGGTCCTGGTCGCCTTGCCGGAAACGGCCAAGTGGCCAGCCGGGATCTTGGGCCCATGGGTTCGGTGTTCCTGGTGGTTTTGACCTCCAAAGCCTCTGAACGAAAGATCAAGGCAAACCTGCAAAGAGCATGATGTGTGTTTCGGACTTGCACATTTTGCGGGTCAAGATGGGTCAAGGAGTTTGGGGAGACCGAACAGCTGCGTGTGGTTGCTGACTTCGACGGTTTCCGCCAATGGGAAGCCGTTTGTTTGAGTTTTCATGAATAAAGATAGAACCTCACGAGGCGGATAAGTTGAAGGCTTGCTTGAACCCAGAAACTGTTTTCCGACTTTCTTCGTTAAATGGAGAGCATGAGCCTTTGCGGGAAGCCGTGAGAATATGTGAGAATCTTACAATATGTTACTTGCATGAGCTTCAGTATGAGCTTCACATATATACATGTTCTCATGTTCTCCCCAAGGGCAAGAGCTGTAGTACGCTGACCGATGAAGTGCAAGCCGACTGACTCGTTGCTTCTTTGGTGGCCCAAGATGGTCGACAGGTCGCGCGACGAGGCGCACGAATGACCCGCACGAATGGCTTTTTTTCCCCACTGAAGTCACGTCCATAAACAGTAGAGTAGGGGAGTGAATCTTCTGACAGGTTTGATGTTCCACTTTGTAAGCCTGTGGATGAGAAGGGCCATACCGTATGCCTGCTAAATATCCGAGAAGGGCTTGAGATTTAATCAGGTGCTTCTACTTGTACAAGTGCTGCCTTATGTTGCGTTGCTATCGCCCCACTTAGGTTCATCACGTTTGGTCGTTGACGCTTTGCCGCAGTGCCTGCACAGGCAACCTCAGTCAGGCGCCATGGTCCAAAGTGGGATCCAATTCTGTCAGCGGTACTGTAAAGTTTTTAAATACAAACATGATGCCCAGAACTGAACAGCTATGATGATACTTGGGACTTCGCGCGACCATTGGGATTTGTTGGACAGCGACACCAATCACGCTGGACCAGTGAAGAACTGGTCATTCCAGACATCCCATCGGTCATGCGAGTTTCCGACCTAAACAGGCAGAACAATGTCATGATACGAGTCACGAGTAATGATATATGCTGATATATGTGTTTGGTCAGTGTTTGGGTTAGATGAATCAGGAATAACCTGGAGGAGTAAGTGTTGACACCCAACATCGTTGTTTTCCTCCAGATCATCCTGTTCTCACCTATAACATCCTATAACACTTTCAGCACAGCTGAGTCCTGTCACCAAATGGTCAAACCGATCAATTTTGTTTTTGCATCCGGAAAACACAGCTATCTCCTCGGCAGGAGATCAGCTTCAATTTGCTGGGCTTTTTGGAGGGAGAGGCGATGAAACTTGATGAAACCCGACCGGGGCAGGATGAAACCCATCAAAGCGATGGCCTCCAAAGCCTCACGCCCACCTCTCAAGCTGGGCAAATCCGGACCCAACCGCACGATGGACGACATCCGTCGCGAAAATCGACGACTTCCTGACCCAACTCTGGAGTACACCTGTGCCATCATGTGCCATGGGCTTGGAGACTGGGAGGTGAACGTCTTTGGGGTCTTGGGCACAGCGATGGAACACCGTTCTTCTTTTGGAAGAACAGTGGGAGAGCACTCAACACCGTCTCGTGGTCAATTACGAGTTTGCGTTGGCCGTTGTTGGTTGTCAACCGGAAAATGCACATGGCCGCACTTGCACATGCCAAGCACATCCAAGCACTTTAAATTTGTGGGATTTCAAAGTTGATTCGGTTTTCCAGGAGGTACTTCTGTGGAACCTGCTGTTCTTTGATTGATTTGTTGGGTTGTGTTGGGTTTGAAAGCGAGCTTACCAGCCCATATGACTTACAGTGGCGACTCAGTCACTGCTCTGATGGGTCACCACTGAGAGACAGTGGGCCCAACCAGAACCGGTCGGATGTCCTCGACTGGCGCGTCCGTGCGTCCGGACTCCGAGCGAAGGAAGCGGAGCGACGATGAGACTTGAATGAGACTATCAACAGACAGCAGGTTCAATCCAGGAATCATCTGGAATAATCATCATATAGATCATAATAGACTAACTGACAGATACTGAATACTATACTCTCAGCAGGTTTGGCCTGCTAGCACGATCATTGAATTGGTTGTTGCAACAGTACTGCTGTAGGCTTGAACCTCTTCAGATTCCTCCTGCGTGAATTTGATCAATCGACTGTTGGAGCCCGCAAGGGGATCCTGACAGCCTTCATGGCAAAGATCTTGGAAACAATTAGATCCTCACTTTTGCCGCTTAGGACACTTGACGTATCTTGACGTCGCCCTTTTTCTTCCCCTTGGTCCCTCTGGGTAAATGCAAGAACAGGCTGGTGTCCCAGCTGAGTTCTCCCCCCTCAAAAAATGCCGTGCCAGCTTCCGCCTGTAAAGCTTTGCGGTCGGGAGGCGCATCCTGGATGGCAATCCACGGAGACCAACGGGGTGGAGCGTGCTCGGCAGTGCTCCGCATGGCTTGGCCTCATGAGCCTAGCGGCGCTGGGTTTGCGGTGAACAGCGAAGAAGAGGGGCAGCGGCCTGCTGCTCAAAGTCGAACGCCCCAGCAGGCCCCGCCAATATCTAGTAGTTAGATGAATTTATATATATAGAACAATATAGAACATAATACTGTATGTGATTACAATATTTGCAACCTTGGGCATTGGCTGTGCATCGATTGGTTGATGCGGCTCCTGATTACTACAAACTCCAAGCAGCATTGTACATAGAGGGCAGGCTAGCCCCGTCCAAAAATCGGATGGGCCTAGAGTGTCCAAAGCTGAAACCACAACTAACCAAGCGATACCAAGCTGTGATTTCGGCTTTGAAAGCCAAAGCATCAAAGCCGAGCAAAGATCTCGAATGAGCCAGAGGCCAGAAGAATAGAATGCCCTCAGGATTGAATCATGAGCCTTGAGCCTCAAGTTGTAGGTGGAAAGCAGTCTTCAAATCCAAATCTTGTATGTTGAGCTGGCTTGCCTCATGCGTTGCCTCTTGTATGTCTCCATGTCCGATCCCCGCAGATTTTAGCTTTTTCTCGAGCTGCATGTGGCACGTTCGAGAGCTTTGGACGGTTCTGCCGTGGCCTCAGACAAACTGTTTTGGTGCAGCTTTCGTTTGGCAAAGCAATTGTTTCCATGTGCGGACAATGGCCAAGGGAGTTCGCATGGTTTCACTTCCACGTGCTGGTACATCACAAAATCATTAACAATAGTCATTATATGATATAATGTATAGCAATCATGTTATACATCAACCACCCCAACATTCCAGCAAGCGGGGGGGCGTTTGTTTGTTCGGGCAAACCGAAAAGGAACCTTGATGACGGCACTGTACCTGCAGTTGCGATGATGGCACTGGACCTGTTGTCCACTCTGGTTGGTTGGTTGCGGTTGGTTGGTTCGTTAGCCAAGTTATAAAGGAAGGCCCCCCGAATGGAGAGTTTCATCCTTTCTCTGAAGCAAACACTCGTTTGGGGGAAATTCATCCATTTTGATCTTTTCACCGCTTGCCCATTGATCCGACCGTGTCACCGGGGTCACTCCACGCCCTTGCTCACCGCCAGCGCTTGCTCAGTGCTCGGCCCGGAGGTTTGAGGCCGGCCATGTCCTCGACTGGTAAATCGAAGCGCAACCAGCGAGAGAGCAACTTAGCAGAGCCTCGGCAGAGGAGCTGGACACAGAGCGAAAGGGGGAAAGGGAAGAATAAGTTGCCATCATTATTAGTAGCAGCAGTAGTCAGTAGTACTGGTAGCACGGTGGCATAGGAGTCCTGGTGGTAGGGCCTGGCAGTTGGTGCATATCAGCAACATGCTAGAACGCAGCAACAATGAAGCATGTTCCACTGTCCCGGCTTCCACTCCACTGCTTTGGACTCAAATTCGCTTGCTTGTGGAAGAGCACCGTGGCAGAGCAAATTTACCGGCATTCACAGTAGGCAACCGATACGTTGGGCAATTGAGGAGGGAACTGGGCTAATATTTCAGTCAATGATGTACCAAGCTACGCAAGCTATGTCACGTGATGCGCACAAACTCGAGTCGCAGGACCGCATGTGTAAATCATGTATATGACATCCTTTGATCGATTTCAAGTCCAGCCACTGAGGAAAAATACCAAACTGAGGGGCCCTTCACCACGGCCTCTTGGCGGTGTCTTTTGGGACCCAGTAAGCGACAAGAACCTGTTGCCTGGTTGGTTGAAGTGACCCGGAAATGTTGGCAGTTTTTGCATGGGTAGATTGGGTTTGTATGATTTTTTTCTCACCAACAAAGCTGGAGATGGATATCGACCCACTTCCAGAGGGAAGAAAAGAGGGAAGCGGTGTTAATGCATGGTTGTTGAGTTGAAACCTGCCAAATAATTGCATAAATTGTGTTTGTTCTAATATACCATGGTTTGGGGATAGCTATTGGTTGACCTTGTTTGCAATGACACTGGCAGGAGCAACATCGAATGTATCACAGATGCTGGTTATCCTAGTCGATTTTCAGGATTCCTTTGAGCTTGAGCCTGAGATCATGAGGACATCCTTTCATGACAGACCCATACTCTCCTCTCTCCCAGGTTTTGACTCATCAGATTTTGCTTGGTTGTTCTGATGCATTCAACATCAGTCAATCATTCCGTTTGAGCTTCTACGGTGCTGAACCTTTGGACCTTTCATCCACCAAGTGGACCGGACCCTTCCTGTTTCGGAGCTGAACACCTCGATTGAACCCGTGCTCTTTGGTCCTCCAGGCAGGCAGAACTTTTAGAGGGATTTGAAGGTCCATGAGGTCACTTAATGCCCAAAGAGCCTGAAAAATAAAGTTAAAAAGTCACTTAATTAGGGACTACCAAGAGTTGAAGGATGTGACCTGGCAGTTGCCGTGGCATCCGTCCCAAAAGGTCTGTGTTCACTCCGTCCGGGACTCCACCGGGCTCGGTGCTTCGATCCCTCCCTGCTGTCCCCCCCGTGGATCCGGACGCCGTTTGGAACGAGATGTGTCGTGGTCCAAACAGGTGATGATCCGGAACATCCCGACGGAATACACGCAGGATGAGTTGATTGTTGAGGTCAGTGAGGCGCAGGAAGTAGATGGGAAGCAGAAGATGTGGTCAGTGGTAAGTGGTCAGTGTTCCTTTTCTTCCCAGACATTTGGATCAACGGTCATGATCATTGTGGTGATTGGCCGAAGATCTGGAGATTTGCTGCTGGGACTTGAATACCACACGGCATCACACGGCCCTTTTTGATTCTGGATACGGGTAGTGTGGGTTTGCATGATTTGAAGTATATGAAATATGTTGTTTACTACTGAAACTAGGGGGACCCCCGAGCCAGACCCTCGGGAAGAGGTTGAATGATCTCCCATTATTGCACACTCATATGGCTGTGGGTCAAAAAACCCATAGCCCTGGTTGACCCATGAAAATGAACGGAGTCTTTTTGACGGGATGTCAACCGAACCCATGGTTTGGTGAAGGCGAGGTTTTGACCCAGATCCATTATATAGAAAAGTTTTTGTTGGCTGTCCCAAATTAGATGCTCTTCCACACTCATGTAGGTTTGCAATGATGGGACCACCATCCACTGGGTGTTCTATTGTGTCTTTGAACATCTTCTAAGTAGGTATGGGTCTCGGTCTGCAACAACAACATTCATGTAACATCCATATTGGGACTGCGCATCACTACACATCACCGCGAAATCAGAAAGCTCTCGCCGAAGGTGATGGGATCGGCGCAGTCCTTCGATTTCTTCTACTTGCACAAACCTGAGTTGATGCAATTGAAGAAGTGCTCTCCCAGCGCTACACTGGCGATCATGGAATGAAATATCCAGCATCATCCAACATGCAGGGCTGGACAATAAGTGCGGAACAGGCGTTCCACTTCGGATGGCCTAAGTAGTATTCACACCCTAAGGCCTCCAGCAAGAACACATTCAAGCTCGATCACTTTGAACAAAACCGTCCAAATGACCCATGTTTCACAAACCACCCATGTTGGCAGGCCACCGGGTTGATGTTGGCGGGTTGCAAGCGTTCTCCAAGGCCCTGGGACACACAAAATGATTGCAACATTGGCGGAAGCCCCAGTGGGACACAAACCGAACGAGTTTTCACGGAGATAGGATGAGATCGGATGAGGCCTTGGTGCGTCGCTGTGGCAGGAAAGTGCGTTGGGAAGTATATCCCGAAAAGATCTACAATTGTGTTTGCATGGAAGATCCATTTGCCCCGAGAAAAAGGTTCTTTTTTGTTTCCCTTGCTGGTAGGGATAGTTGATTGCAGAGGGATGTTTCATTGCAGACGGTTGCACAGTGTTTCTATTTTGTTGGATGAGAGAACCTCCCACGAGTGTACTCTCAGGAGCCACTAATTCATCAAGTGTGGATTTCTATCTCAGGCCTGAATCTCCTTAAACTTGAAACAATGATCTTCACAAATCATCCGGAAGCAGTGACCTGCTTTGCCCTTGGGCACCTGCATCTCATGCAATGGCCGTGCGGACCCTGCTCCACTCCATGGCCTTCTTCCATCGCGCCTCGGCCGTCGCTGTCTCCCCACCCGTGCGATCCCCGGAAGCGAAGAAGAACGCCGCTCGAAGCGCCGCGTTGCGCCCGCAGGTTACGTCTTTGTGAACTTCCCAGATCCTGGAGCAGCACAAAGTGCTGCCCGAGCCCCGGGTGGGGGTGCCGGGGAGGACCAAGTGCCCAAGTAAGGCTAAGTAAGGGACCAAGTGCTCAGGTGAGGTGAGACCAAATCACTCCGAAAATGACAGAACATGTGTCAAATCTTACTGTATAATCATCATCAAATGTACACTTAACATCATGTATTATATAGTATATTAAATGATGTTGATGTCTATAAGCTTCACACCTTTTAGCCTGTATGCTTTTCTGGTTGATATTCCACCCATCTCGCACCGGTCACCCTAGACTGCGCCGGTCTGAAAACTGGGAGACTGCACTGCACCGGTCACCCTCGCCAGCTGTACCACCGCTGTACGGCCGAGGTTCGGGCGTTTTCCAATTACAACTTCCGGCTTCACGATAGCAAGAAGGTGGGGAACTGCACACCGCTCGGTCAGCGGTGTGCAGTGTGTGCGGTGTGTGCGGGAAAAGGTCGAAAGACGGGTTTCAAATGGATCGAGCCGGGCCGTGTACCAGGGGCATTTGGAGAATTAGAGGAGCTCAAAAGGCACAGGAGAGTTGTGGAGAGCTTCTGAGCAGAACTTGTGCACACTTGATTCACTGTCAATAGTTGGACGAACTGAGCCTATGCTGCCTAGGCTTTAAATTGAAGTTATCTTTGGCCAAGTGGCAAGTGACTCCAAGTGACGAGTGCTTGCCTTATAGAGAAAGTCAGTATCATATTCCAAGAGCCACCTGGGTGCGTTGAACTACATGGAGGATCACCCTTTTGAGCACAAGAATCAATAATATACTCGAGCTGTGTTTCTGTGTACGGATGTCCAGTGACACTGGACTGTTATCTTACACCCACGCAACGTGGCTCTTCGTTCGCTACTCCAAATGCCACCAAACGTCACGAAGCGTCCCTTTTTCTCGCACAGGTCGGCAAGGTCTCGCCGGCGCACATCCAGGCCTGACCGCACATCCGTTCTCATATGCACGGACCACCGTTCTCCTCGGTTCTCGTCCTCGCAAAACACCGTTCGCGCTCCCACGACGGGAGCTTGGACGCTTGGAGCGGACCCACGGTGAACACCTCCGACACCTGCAGGGCTTGGAGAATAACCTCCGACACCTGCAGGACCCGCAGTATGGGCTTCGCGGCGGTTGGGTGCCGCTTGAACGGCAGGAAAGTCCACTCAAAGTCGAAGCCGCGAGGGGACCGGGATCTGCGGTGATTTTCTGCAGTGAGTGGCATTTTGGACTGGCTTCCACCCAGCTAACATAGCAATCACTGAGCACAGCAAGAGCACCCCAAGCCACCATTCTCCAGCAGTTCCACTTCTAGCACTGCAGGTAGCCTCTTCACACGAATGTTTGTGTTGAGATAGTTAATGTGGCAGGCAACCCGTTTTTTGCCCAATCTTGCAGGATCGTGCGGTGGTCCTGGGAAACCATCCTTGCAGCCCAATCGTCATGTGGTAGCTGCCTCAGTCGCATGTTTGCCCCAACTGATGGTATCAGATGGTCAAAGCTAAAAATGAATTGCTGGCCGGCCACCGAAACAGGTTGTGTATGGCAACTATTGAACAAGTGCATCCTACTTTGGACAAGGCTCTTGAAGGTGACAAATTCTCTATCCTTTATCAATATGGAAGATTATGGAAGGCCAGATGCTTGATTAGAGCATCCTTCAAAGTGTTCTTGCAGTGTACAGGTTTGTCAACATGGAGTCAAATGTTCTTAACTGCAAGAGTGAGACTGCGACACATTGACACAACTCCTGTGGAGATGAAGACGCTGTTGTTGTGTCAAAACCTCACGATCCATGGGGATTGGCTTGGTCAATGGTGTGAGTTCTGTAAACAATTCTTTACCAAGGAAAGGGCAGAAGGCAGGGGAGTGCATTTCTGAGCGCATTTGAGTGCCAGAACGGCAATGCATTATCTGTTGAACATGTATTTCGTGGCTTCGCAAGATGCTCTTGATGGATATGTTTTCCTATGCCACCCAACCAACGTCCCATGGGTTGCCATGATCCGACATGCGCAGGTTGAGCTCAGCCTGATCTTTCAAGAGCTGAGAACACAGGAGCGCTCCGTGATGCCCATGTGAGCGCTCCGGGTGGCCCGGCGACCAACTGACGTCAGCCACCAAGAAGGTATAAGACAAAACAACCTAAGAGCGATGGCCTCCTCCCTACCCTAGTAGCGATGGCCTCCTCCCTACTAGCGATGGCCTCCAACCCAATAGCGATGGCCTCCACCCTAATAGCGATGGCCTCCACCCGTATAAGAATATACAAGAATATCAGCTTTGCAGCCATTGCCCAGAATTAAGGTTGGCAGTCGTTCATGGCGCTCCATGGCATATCATGTGGTCATGTCAAAAGCTGGAGAAAGACCTCCGGGTAGCTAGGACCTGCAGAAGTAAACTGTTTACAAAGACATTTGCTGCCAGGACACGCTGCGGAAATTTGAGAATGGCGGCAACAACTCTTCCCCAGGTCACGCGTGGAGAAGAGGGTTGTCGATTGTGCGTGTTTTTGCTACTGCCATGAAGTTCTTGCACATGGTAATAGCATGATAAGAGCCTTGCTAATATGATCAAAAAGACAATGATGAATCAGCATGGCGTATCTAGTCAAGTGCTCGGTGAGGGTGATGGTTCGACAGCTGGAGCTTGGTGCCCGGTTGAGTCAAGCACATTGGTCTTTGGGAATCCGCTTTCTGAGCTTTTGAGCGTGACAAGAGGTTTCATATGTAATCAGAACCTGTGCTCAAGCATGCGTACAAGCTGTCAAAGGCAGAAGTCAGCACACCGATCAATTGTAAAGAAGAGATTCTTTTTGGACCCAACTACCTTTGGCAATTGATAGCACTTTAACCCCGCTTGCTTCAAAGCTCTGACCGCGCTTGGCCTGGACTAGCGAACCTCACTTGGGGATTGTCCCCAAACATCCACACTTGTTTTGTCTCAAATGTGTTTTATGTGGCCTTAAAAGTATTTGTTTAGTCAGAAATGGAGCACAAATGTTTAGTCTCAAAAGACGTTTTGTCCTTGGACGGCACACATTTAAATGACAATATTTTACCTGCATGGCGTGAGCTTCGCTACACGAAAGGAACACTACTAGTAGCTTCTTGCTACTAGTAGTAATGCACGTGTTACTAGTAGCGATGCGCTTGTTACAGCATCTAGTAGCTTCTTGCCAGACAAGTGTTGGTTTCTACCGCGGAAACAAGTGTTGGTTTCTACCGCGGAAAACACGCCAGACACGCGAGCTGGGTTCGGTTTTTTCGGCCTGGTTGACCGGAGCACTGCTCGGCCTTCAGGTCGACAGGCTGCACTGCAGAATGATTTGGCACAGGCGAGATGACCGACCGGTGACGATGGATGCCCTGCGCGGCCTTGCGCGTTTGCGGGCATCCATCCACCGGTTCGCTCCAAATTGGAGTGCCCGTTTCAACAGCGCCTTTGAGGCCTTTGGTCCATTCAGGTCATCCTTGTCACGTTGTTTTGGGCAGTTACTCAAATGTTATACTTACTGGTATTTATTTGGCTAAGAAGAGGTGCTTTTCATGCTAGCCCTGAAGTCTTGAGGGGGGACGGTTCCACGTTTGGTCAGTTCTCAATCCATGACTTTAACAACACACTGGCAGGTGCTGCTTACCCTCAGCGAAGTCGTCACCGCAAGCAAATACAAAACAGTACAAATAGTGATTGCCTCATGGTTTGCTGGTAAGTTTGCTTATAAGACCTTGATGGTGTGTTTTTTTTGTCACTGTGACATCTGACCGCTTCGGCCCCAGGCTGCAGCAGAAGCCCTCAAGGTCCCAATGCCCGAGGTGGTGAACGTCGGGGAGGCGTGCGGCGCGGAAACCGCCAGAGCGAAGCGAGGCGATTCCGGAGCCACATGCAACCATGAAGCCATGCGAAGTATTCTCAAATATTCTCAAACAGATCATGTCACAGAATGTCCATATCAACCAATGAACAACCATATCATATAGCGAGTCCATATCAACCATTGTTCATGTCACAGATGGGCAAAACATCGGACTCGCGATGTGAAGGACGATTCGTCGGACGACCGAAACCAGCGCGTCTGGATGACCAGCGCGTCTTGAGAGTTGGCAAACGGCAAACGGCTGGAAGAGGTTCAAGCAAAGGTTTGATACATGTCGCCTTCGTTGAGGGTTTACGTGTGTTTATAATGATTGTTTCTTGATTCCGTTATCAATGTCAAAGAGGGAAGCAGGATTGAGAGAATGGATCCTTTTGGTCTACGCACATCTACACTCTTGATATCTCTGTAATTTGATGAATAGTTTTTCCAAAATGCATCAAAATGCCTCCTGTTCTCTCTGATCTGCGGACCGAAACGCGGCCTGAAATGCAGACCTTCGCGGATCTGCTGGATCGAGCCGCGGGGCTCTCGCATTCTCAAGGCGGCTCGGAGCAGCGTGGTGGAAATGGTTCCAGGTTGGAGGTCACTTTGAGGTATAACATTAAAATAAATACAATACACAGTTATTTACGTATCATATAGAGGTTTGTTCTCCAGGTGTTTGGAGGCTTTTTGAGGTCCCCGGTCTCTTTGCACTGTGCGTCGTTTGTTGCATCCCAGTGCCGTTTCTACGGCCATCGAGACACCGAGACACCGTGCCCACAAAGCTGAATGTTGCGGGGTCGTAGTGGGCACCTAGGTCCTAGGGACCTAGGTAGCACGATAGGAGGACAGTGGACTGGACAGTGGATGAAATATGATGTGCTTTTGTGTGTTTTTTTCCCGAGAGCGTTTGCGAAGGGTTCTTCGTAAAAAAAACATCTGCAGAACTACACCTCCTCTACATCTTCACATCTTCACCTCTGTACAATCTGCTCATCTTCACATCTGCACATCTACATCTCTGCTCATCTTCACATCCTCACATCTACATCTCAGCTCATCTTCATCTTCACACATCTACATCTCTGCTCATCTTCACATCTGCACGTCTACATCTCTGCTCATCTTCACATCCTCATATCTACATCTCACATCCTCACCTCTCGCTCTTCTTAACTTTCTCTCTTAAGGCCGGGAGCAGTGCCGCGGGACCGCCACGAAACGCAACCCTCTGCGGAGATCGTGCGTGTCGAGTGCGCGAAATGCAAGCGAGAGTGCGATTTG